GATGCCTTCAGCTTCTGCCCCATATTTGCCAATTTAATTCCATACATCACAACCCATCTCATGATAATCTGGGTCCCCGCTCGGGTGAGGGATCCCAACACAGCGGGCATTCTCGCCTGCTTCAATCTGAAGCCTCAAAATCAAAGGCCCTAACGCCTAAACTGCACGGCGGACTGAGGGATAAAGTGGTCGATGAGGTGGAGGAGCTTCGGCTGCGGGAAGTTCGTAGGGTTTGGAGCTGTTTCAGTGTCCGACGATGTCGATCAGAGTTTATGGTGGCACGTGCGCAGATAAGCAGAGAAATGTAGAGAAACGCGCCGCTTAATGGACCAGTAAGTTTCTGCAGCGATGAACGAGTGTTGTGACGATCTTGAGATGCTCCCTGGTGATAGGGATTCATCAGCTGATGCTGATGGCAGTACTGCTGATGGCTATGAGAACTACGGTGGTCTGCTGCCAGTGACCAGTTTCGTGGCATTGCTCTTGGCCCGGTGCTGGTTGCTTCTACACCACAGAGAAGCAAACAGACGGAGGCATCAATCCCGCAGACTCCAAGGGTCACCTCATCTAGGATTTGGGAAATTCAGCCCTGCGAGGAGAGTCTCGAAACGCGTACTGGACTCAGTTCGGCGATGCTCTCCGTATTTTGTTTCATTTGCAGTGTAGGTTGCAGGTGAGTGAATTTGCCGGCGATCTGCACCCAAATCACCAGATGCTGTGCGAGTTCATCGATGCACTCGAGCTGTCTGTTCAAATGTTTCTAGCTGACCCCGCCCAAGAAATTCCGCCAAGAGCGGTAGAAGCCTGCCTCGTGATACTTAGCGCCGTTCCTGAGACTTTGCTTGCATCAGTGCTGAGGTGCTCGCCGGCACGCGAAGATCACAGGTCTCAGCGTAGCTCTGGCACGGAGTTTGCAGTGGAAGCTTCGCAGAGGGAGCACCCTTGTCGGTTTTATGCGCGCGGTAATCCTTGATGACCCTGAACCGAACTTTAGTGGTCAGATAAGCAACTGAAGCATCACCTAGCATTTTTACCTATGAATTTTACATGCTGTGAAAGCTTGGTGCGGCTTCTAGGTGTAACTTATGCAAGCAGCACCAAGCTTCCATCAGTAAGGGGGGCCACGCGCTTCCCCATCCACCCCAGACTAACAGAGGTTCTGGGCATGTCCAGTTTCACTCGCCGGCTTGAGTCAGGACTTCAAGAATTTGGCATTGGAGCCAATGTAGTTTTTGGCAATTTCAAACTCAGAAAGTATCCCCGACTTAGAGGACAAAGACTAATCATCTCGGAACCCTCCTCAGAATCTCTGCAGAGGTTCAGTTGGCATGAGACGGTATTCATAGTCCAGGCTTCTCTTGCGGATTGCACAGACACTTCTCCCTCGGAATTCCAGGCCTCTCTTGAAATTCCATGTGTGCATTGCCTTGGGGCATTATGTTGGGTCAATTGTTGGTTCTGATTGACATGTTCCAATTTTTCCAGACTCCTGCATCGGATCCAAACCTCAGCTCTTTGGCCTCTAGGGGCGCGACGCCCTTACAGATTGGTATGCTTGTCGAAGAGTGAGCACCGTTTCCAAATGGTGGGTGAAGCAGAACTTCAGTAACAACTGTTATGATTTCCAACTCGCTTGCGAGTCTACTCCAGCAAGGCATTCTTGGGTTGCACACACGAGGTCTCCATAGAGTGAGTTCTCCATGTACTCGACATTCCTTGTCGGCGTGGTCAAAATCCTAGCGCCCTGCGTGAAAGCTCTTGGCAAAGTCGCGGTTACCGTCCTTGCTTGTACAGGTGCATCAAATTGTCCACACACTCAGATTCGGCTAAGTGCGCAAAGTACACACAAAAGATGAGGCTGTGGAGAAAACATCCTAATCAGAGCCGCTGCAGGCCACATGAGAATCCTGCAACAATTCCCAACATCATCTTAAGCAGGCTTTCGTGACTCCTCACGGCATCCCCATATCCCTACCATCCATACATCACCCTTTTCCCTTGAAAAACCACAAGTGCCAGATGGATGACGTCCGGCGGATTCAGAGCCTCTTTCAGCAAGCTTTGGCACCGAGCAAAGCCAAGGCCTTCAACAATGTGCGCACATGTCGGTGCAGGGCCCTTTCTTGTGACTGTCTTGAAGGAGGTTAAGGGCAGCTTTTTGCACTTCCTCATTGTTAACATCCTGCCAGTTCGGGTGCAAATGTCTGTGGGAACAAAAATGAGGTCGCCTGAAGAAATGAGGGGTTGGGGTTGGGCTTGTGCCTTGCTGGAAAACTGATATGGAGACAGGAAAACGACAAAACCAGGAGCCAGAAAGGTATGTCTTGGGAGGCCTGCAGCGTCAGCTTTCTGGCTCTAAGCTCTAAACTTGCAGAATTGCAAGCTCCAGCAATTGCCATTACCAGTCTATGAGAAAAGTCAAGCCTTCAAGCCTGGCAGTTCTCATAGGGTAGGCTGACGATTCGCGAAGTGTCTGGGCGCGCCATAGGCACAGAATACTTCCTTATTGGGGCATCGTCGACAATCTGACCCATTCTGGAGAACTCGTTAGATACTAGGCAGCTCACCGAGACCTCGCTATTGACCCACGTGCAGATATATTTCACATGTGCCCACCGAAGATGAGATGCGGTTCTCCGTTTCTATGAACAACCTTCATGCAAGGCAACTCTGCGCAGCAGCAGACTACAATTCGGAAACAAATTTGACATGAAGTTGTTGCCATTACTTCGGGTTGAATACGAACTTCCTTCTCAAGCATAAGATCTTTTGCTGCTCAATTTGATCTGGTCAGGGAAGGCTGCCCCTCGAAGACTTCCGTGATTGGCTCCGCAGCTTGGCGAGAGGGACTGGTGCTGTAGCAATGAGCATGACCCAGCCCACTGCTATTGCTACTATTGTCTGGTTTTGTTTTTCTGTCATTCTTCAATGACGACGTGACACACGACCACGGCCACCACACCAAACCGAGAAGGATCAACTGCACCTAAGATAGCAGCTGTTTGAAACCGTAACTTCCTAAGTTATCTGGCAGGCTTGGTCGTGTCGTTGAAAAATTGGTTCTATCAGAGAGTAAGTGGTATCAGGCAAGAGGATCCGCTTCATCGCAAGCAGCCTCACTGTGTCGAGCGACCAACTAATCGCACGTCATCTGACAAGGTCAACACTGCGGCCTTGACCCTGAAAAAGCAATCCCTGGACATCTCATGGAGACCGACTGGCCAAGGGTCCCTGCGTTTCAGCGTCAGGTTCAGGGTATTGGCGTTTAGTGTCGTGGATGTTGAGGTTTGGAGCTTAACGTTTTGGAGGCGCAGATTCCGAGAATTCAGGGTGTTTGAGGTTTCGAGTGTATACTGTAGGGTGTAGGGTTTTTGTGGTTTGCATGGATTGGACTTTTTCGTGCATGATAGTTAGGGTTTGATTTGGGCGTTTGGGGGATTTCGCGGTATGGGGTTTCAAGGTTGTTTTCGTTTTGGGGGCTGTCCGAGCTACCGTAACTCAGTGGGGCAGCTTGGGGGAGTATCCTGTGTTGGGGTTGCTTTTCCCGAGCAAGGTAGGATGGCATTTCTGAAGTTGATGTTACTGCAACGGCAACCCTGACCCATCAACCCTGCTGCATTCTATGAAGAACTGCACAAAAGATCAGTTTGTGGGGTTGGGCAGGGTGGGGTGGGGTGGGGTGCATCAGGGTGGGTTTTGCATGCTTTTGGGTAGGGTTCGTAGTGGTGCTTGATGGCAGAGGATGACTTGGGGCAGGAGGCTCAGGAGACGAACAAGTTGTACAGCGATCGTACCGATTGCTTCGGGGTTGTAGGCTTCAGGGTTTAAGACATGGTGACGGACATATGCGCCTCAATTGGAACCAGACCCCTCCTCACTCCAGATAGTTGCCTGCTCACTGCCTAAGCAAACTTGTGTCTAGTGAGAGCCTTCTTAGCAACAAAGCACAGAAGCCTCAGCACAAAGCTGCGTCTGACTACTCGGAGTCTTGGTGAAGCTTCCTTCACACTGACACTAGCTACTCTAAGATCAGCAATAGCTGTCTGGAGGAATAGCATTGACAGCTTGCCAACGGCGGTAGTTTTCGGAGAATCTGTAGGACTTTGTCTTGTTTAGGGTAAGGAAGCGCTCAATCAGCTTCCAGAGACCGCCTGATCTGAGTGTTTGATGTTGAATAACAAGGGGGCCCTTATAACAAGGACAACATGGTTTTCCAGAGATTTCCAGATGCCCATATCGTAGTCAGCTTTGTCGTTTTGTTCGGGCTGCCTGTTCTTCTAACCAACAGAAGTCCCCCCCTACCTGGGGTTTATCGTTTAGGATGAATGAGGTGATGGATTCAATGGATTCCACATTAGTACCTAATCAGAAATTTATATCCTCACGCACCCCCTAATTTAAACCCACTCCCTCCCTCAGCCTTCTAAGAACTCGACTCCTGCTACGGAACAAGTACCGGAAAAGGTGATCAGGATAGCTCAACTGGGAGCCTTTCTAAGTGGGGCCGCGAATTTGGGGCCACTTCAGGGGCTCAAACTGGAATGACTGGAATGACGATCCCTTTGATTTGCACAGCACAATACCCAAATCATCCTGGCTACACCACCCACACTCGTGCTGAGTTGACCGACAAGAACTTTTGTGGTGGTATGGCCAAGCTTGCTTCTGCGTGTGTGTCCTATTTCAGGATGGCGATCTGAGAACCAACACATGCCAAGTTCAGGCATTGTTGATGGAGGAAGTTTTGACCTACGTTGAAGACCCTGCAGTCTTTCATGTCTTCCAAACTAGAATGTTACTGTCTGGGTCCTGTCAACTGTTCTGGGCGACTCGTAAGCACGCCTTCTATACTCCTAAACAAAAATAGCTTGGGATAAGCGGGAAAGCCTAGACTAACCTAGACTCCAAAGCGTTGAGCCCTAGACTAGGCACCCTCCGACCCTCCCAACCCTCACCCACCAAGGCTGTAAGTGCCAAACCCTGGCCCTGAAACCCGTTAGGATATCGAGCTCACGGAGGATGACTTCGTTAGCTGGCCGGGAGCCCAGCGGCTGATTTCAGACATAAACGCAGAAGTGTTTGAAAATTGTCGGAGTGCTCTGAGAGTCTTTCTTGTCAGGACAGGGATAATCCACAGTCATAATGGTAACTACATGTCTGGGATGGCTCCAGCCACGTATGTGTATGTGTGTGTTGATTCTTGGCCCTAGAACTCTTGCAGGGGAGTTCCCAAGCGAGGGGCCCTTTGTCAGGATGCCGAGAGAAAGCACCATCTACGTCCTTCGCAGTAGGGATAGCACTGCTTGGCAAACTTAGCAGGACCTGACTCTAGAAAAACTCAAGCAAGAACGCCTCAGCTTTGCCTCGAGGTCTCCTAATACAGTTTGACTTCAGCTCTTGCGGCCAGAGTTTCCAGATAATTATAGTATGAGGGTTGTCTGAAAACCCTTGTCTACAGTTTATATTATACCAAGTTGAACGTAGTACAGCATAGCTTGTCAAAAGTACGCGTGCGCGCACACAAGCAGCTCTGCGCAAACACAGCGGAGGAAGCGACGCAAGGGCTTGAATGATGTTCTGATTATTGTTCTAAGTTCTAAGTTGTAAGTAACTGCTAGCTCCAAAACCTCTCAGCCAAACAAGCTCGCGCAAGCTTAGGGAATGTCCACAATGTGGGATGAAAGCATGTTTGACAGCCTCCATATACACCTTGGGACCTACAAAGGGTTGAGTCCCCCCACTTGCGAAGACTGCTGCTCTTAAATTGAAGTGGGAGACGTACTTCTTTTGATTGGCCTTGGGAATGACATACTACGACACAGCAGGCTGGTAGCACGAAGTCACGACGGGGATGACATACCACAATAAGGCTAACCGGATTGGAGATTTTCGGAGCTGAGCCACGCGTTTGACGGCCAAGAGTCGATATCCTTGCACCGAAGTACCCTGGCAGTCAATCCGACCATGAGGTACAACAACAAGCAGTGGAGCGAGGAGATCATGGTGCCCGATCCACAGGTGCGTGATAATTGCAACAGGAATCGTGGGACTTCAGGGGGCTCAGGTGGTTTAGGAATTTGGGCCTGTGGTCATTTTAGTGAGTAGGATGGAAAAGCGTCCAGGAACCAGGGTTTGGGATGAATCTGCCAATCCTCACATCGCGGGTCGCTTTTGTCTCACCGATGATCGCATGCTCATGGGGAACAGGGGGGGTGCCATCCTCAAAGCAGGAAACCTTGTGTCTGGGCTTTAAGTTACCGCTGGAGCTTCCTTTTGTTTTTCCAGGTCTGCAGTTTCCAGCCAAAATCCGAAAGCATCACCTAATTTCGGCACTGAGGAGGGTATCAATGAGGGTGCAGGCTTCAAGGTCTAGAGTGCTACTGCCTAAGCGTGTAAACAATCATCATGTGCCCGTACCTGTGATGCGTAGAGAGGAGAGTACAGAAGCGTTGGAAAACAACACGCAGCTATCCTGCAGTTGATAGCCTTTCCCTGAGGTGTGAAAGACAGTTCGAGGCCCAAGTAGTTAACGTAGCTAACCTCTCCCGCCTTTTTTGTAGCAGCGCGCAAGGCACATTGGAATCCTGTCATGGTCCTTGTCGCCTCTATTTTGGGAACAGTGATGTCGGCAAAGTTTGATTTGTCATTGCGCTTGGGGGCTAGATTCTGGTTGAGTATGGCAGATCTTTCTTTGCAGGAGCGAAAGCTTCGCAGGTTCTGCAAGCAACAGGGCTTCAAGATCACGGACGCCGCTTGCATTTGCGCAATAGAGTCAATGCATTTGTCTCTTCCAGCCTGAAGCTCCCACAGTACAGAGTCAAGACTGCGCACAGCGGCTTGAGTTCTTCAAGCCGCGCATCTTAGTTGCCATGCTTGAGGCATAAGACCTCCAGAGGCTTGATTTTCAAGGTACCCAGCGTGTGGGAGTAGAGCACTTCAAGAACCGAAATTCCTAATCTACGACCGAAGGTGTTGGTAGCTCCGTCGAAGCCTTCAGTTTTGCGCAGAAGTTCAAAGTCCCTTGCAGATCTGACTAAGAACGCAAGACTCTCTTCTCTTCTCTTCGCAAACCCGAAGGTACAGGTGCTAGCCATCAGGATGCTGAAGAGCCTAAACACTTACCTGGGTGCGCACGCGGGATGTTCTTCAAATTGGGTCTCCAAAAATGAGGACTCGGTTTTGTGGGAGAGAGCTTTAGCCTTATTAACAGTACTTGGGAGTCAATAGGGACCCTTCGATTTTTGAAAATGCCGGTGAAGGTCGAAGGCAGAGCATTGTTTTCAAAGAACAGCTTGCAGTGAGTGCTAGAAGCTGCGAGCGCGATGCTTTTTTTGAGCAACTCTTTAAAGGAACTACGAAGCTATGCCTCAAGAACAGCTCCCAAATGAACGTCATGAGTCATACTTTTCGTGGCGAGAGCATTCTTGGGCCCTACTCACAGCTAAGGTCGAAAGGGTGAAGGCAGCTTTTGACAAGGCTGACAAAGATGGGAGCCATGGCTGACATCCGTTTCCGTGTTGATGTTGATAGAGTCATCATTCGAGTTGTACGGACCCCAACTCGAGAAATACCAAAGACCTCAGCAAAGCCCCATACTATTTGGGCTTGATTTTTCCAAGGTTCCAGGCCAGTGTAGAGCCTTTAGAGGATCGGACCCAACATGTATCTAATAAATGCACAACTGCATACCTTTTGCCTTCAAAGAGCCGACTTGCACTCAAATTCAGGGTGCAGGGTGTACTGTTCAGGGTTCAGGGTTGCTGCAAGATAAATGTAGGCTCAAGACACTTTGCAAGATCTCAAGCTTATTCAGCTTGCTTCCAAGAAGCCGTTAGACGCGCCTTTGCTACGAGGGGTCCGGGTGGACTGATGGCTTCCCCGTTGTCGTAGCTTCCTGACATTCCCTGCAGTAACACAAGCATGTGCAACTGTGCAACGCTTAATATCTGGGCGGAAGGAGTAATTGTTGGGCGGCAGGGTTTGTAAGCTACGAACCCTTAAATGCTCAACCAAACTGGAGAACTGAGGAGTGGCTACCTTGACCAGCAGGAGTTCCAGCAGGTGTATTCCAAACTCGAGGGCATCGACATATCCCAGGCTGGGGCTCCGGGTGCAACGGCTGAGGGTTCAGGGTTTAGTGTGCAGGTCCTAGGGGCGCATAGCTCACACTCTAAGCTCCTGTCATCCGTTGGAGTTCACCTTATGACTTGTAATTGAGTGTTTGTGCTCTTGCGACGGCCTCTTCATGTGTTCCCAATGTCTCAGAACGCATGCACAAGCAGCGGCCAATGTCAAGCATTGACACGAACGCCTGTAACAACATGTGATTCCCTTGTACCCTTTGGCTTGTCCATTGCAAAGCTGGGAAATGACAGAATGGAACCTCACAGAACTCGATGATCACTCAGGACTCGCTATTGTGTTCTTCTACTAGCAAGCAACAAGGTAGATCTCGAATCTCCAGACCTGCTCCCACGTCTTTGCCCGCATCCTTGAGGTCAACGAGACAAAGTTCCGGATCCTCTGGCAAGAAGTCGCGCACTGAGCAAGGGTAAGTTAAAGGTTTTGCGCGTGCTTGCATCACACCCTGATCCGCCATCCTCACGAACAAAGCACTCCTCGACCTGGACAGGTAGTTAACAAAAAAGGGGCGAGAGGGCAGTTTGTAGCAGGGGCTTGAGTAGAACAGAAGAAAAGACACCGTCCGAAACGTAGGTTTCAGAAGTGTTTGACATAACCCAAGCAGCATCAGCAGTTGCAAGCAGTCAAGTCGTGTGAGCTCCAGTGGGCCTTCTTCTAGGGATGAGACGAGTTTGGGCCAGGAAACAAAACCTGTTTAGCGCTGTTTGAATGGCCCAATGAAATCCTTCAGATCCTCTAACTCTCCGGACCTCAAAGTGCTTGCTGTCAGCTCAGGTGGATGAGGACTTTTCCGGCTCGATTGATCTCCTCGAGCATCTCAGTTGAGCTTAGATAATGGGACTGAGAAGGTGGAATGTAGGTCAGGGGAGTTCCGGTTGTTGTAATCTTCTTCTTTGGCCATCTCTGGGCACTAGCAGCGGTCTGCTCTCAGGGGCTTGTTAACTCGATGAGACGCAACACTGCCGTTGCTGCATGAATTACAAGGGCTCCGATTGATGAAGACTTCTGGGGATTCAGGTTTAGCAGACTTTTCGGATTTCCTGAAGCTCTCAGGAGCGGGAGTTTGGGGACGAACGGTTCCTGTTAGTTCCTATATATGGCCTTCTCGGGGAATAAAGAGCCATCAGTGTCAATCAACCAATCAATCAATCATGGGGTCCTCAGGTTCCTGCATCTCCACTGCCTCGTGAGATCATCTTCCTCCGTGTTGGACCCATGTTTCTGAAAACCCTGACCTCCGGCCAACTGGAAGGGAGCAACCGGAAGGGAGCGCGCTGCGAAGACGGTTTTGTTGCTGGCATGGTGCTACACTTTTTGAAATTTGGATCAAGGTCAGTTGGGAAATATGCTGCAGGCTCGTGGACCTGGCCCCCCTGCACGTAAGAAAGCATCGCTTAATCCGAACCTGTGCAGAAGCTTGAGTGAGGACTTCGGACCACTACTCCACTGCAATATACCCAGATTCCCTACTCAAATTGTTTAGTGCTCTGCTTGTGCAGACTCCAGTTTGCAGACGCCCCCAGGCATGCCAAATGCAGGAGTGAATCAAGGCCGAATTACTGGACCTTGCTCAACACCTCCCGAAACTCCGTGAAAGTCTGACAGCGAGCAGCACGCGATTGTAAGGCTCTTATATGAGGTCTGGGGTGGATGGAGAACATCAAGTCTTCCTGTTTCCGGGGGCTTGCAAGATGTTTTCCACGAAGCAGTGAAGTACTGATTCGTCGTAACCGCGGCGGTTCCTTCGGTTCTTTCCGCGCCTCATGAGCGTTCATCAGTAGATGCCTCCGACACGATGATGGGCCCTACCTTTAATAGGCAGACTACACATGTTGAGCCAACATTTATAGATAGTGGGGGTGACAACAAAGTTTTCCCGCCGGGCCAAAAAAGTCCGGAAGACTACTTCAGCTTGCTTACAAGTTCGGAGCCCTAAAACCTAACAACAAGTTCGATCGACAC